TTATATATATATATATATATATATATATATATATATATATATATATTATTGTACACAAAAAAATTTTGAATTTAATTTTATGAATGATGTTTTGCTATAAATATTTTCAACATTTCATTAGACATTAAAAGTAAAAAGCAAATTTGTATTTTTATGATGTATCAAATCAAATTACAATTGATATTTGTGTATACAGAGTATCCCAGATTTTTTCCTCCATAATATATGTTCTATGAACAAAAATAAGATGAATAAAAAGTTATATAAATATAAATTTTATTTAAAAGTTACAGCAAAAATATAATGGATTTGTTCTTTCTTTTATAAAATATAAGAATAATTATTAATATTTATTCAATTTATTTACAAGTTTACTATTAGGATTGAGTTAAAAAATTGGAAATGATATTTATATAAATATAATTCATGTAATTAAATTCATGTAATTAGATAAATATCGATAAGTTATTTTTACTTTATTTAGAAGAAAGAACAAATTCGTCATAATTTATATTTTTATTACAATTTTTATAATTAAATATTTGTATAACATGTATATATTAACATTTTTTTCTTATTTTTGCTTATATAACATGTTATCATAATTTGGCAGGAAAAATTGGCAGGATATTCTATATATATTTATATTTCTTTGGCTAGTAGAATAATAATTTTTAACAATAACAATATAAGGACAATAAAATACACCATAAATAATAACATCAATTCACTATCCAATTAGAAATAAGATATTTATAAATTTTTTTTGTCCAATTTAATCATTAACACAGTCTTCTTTTTAATTAACAATAAATCGATTAATCATTAAAAATTATTTTTATTTCAATTCCTACACAATGTCGCGAGTATTAACAATCGAGACATTAGCCAAAATATTTCATATTAGATATGAAAAAGTAAACTACTAGTAAAATGATCGTGTAGTGATCAATTGCGAGGATAAATTTCTATATTGATACAATTCGATATCTGTGATTGTTAACGTGCCTTTAATTCGATATTATTAATACGAAGAAAACCAGGATTATTATCAATATTCGGGCAGTATCGAATTGTTTTTTTTTAATTCTAAACGGATTCGTTTGGAATGTTTTACCGATCAAGCGAACAATATCGATAAATCAACGACGCAACCGAAAAAGGGCGGGAGCACTAAATTTTATGATTTTGCACTATTTGTTTCGAATACAATGACTGTGCTTTTTTTCAGTCTTAGTCTCTTCATGAGGAGCGGTCGGATGTGGACTTGGTCTTCGGTTTCCGTCCAAGTAATTTACGAAACGAGGAGGTCCATCTCGACCGAGTAAGTCCTGTTGTACTTTGCTCATCCGGTTCACTGCAACTAAGCGATTCACTAATTTTTCTGCTTTTTCCGCTGCTACTGCTGGTGCTACTGCCGCCATTTTCATAACATCGTGATCTTCGATCTCCGATTTCTGAAGAAAACCTGGAAAACATACAAATTTATTATACCACCAATATTCTATCAATTAATTTTATTGACTAAATATATCATCTCCCAATAATTGTAATTTTTATGTGATTATCAAAGTTATGAACGTTTTTTATTTTAATAATGTTTGTTTTAACTGAAATTGTTAAAACATCCTAGTTAAATTTCAATATATATTGAGTAGTAATGATCAATATACAGATATAAATAAACAGATACAAATATAAATTTTATATAAATATATGCAAATCAACTAATAATTAAAAAATAACATTTTACATTTTGAATTATTAAAAAATACAAACTCTATACAGATATAAACTATCTAAACTAACCCTGAATCGGATGAAAAGGCTCTAGCCGTAGCTGGAACGCTTGAATTAGCCGATGAAAGTGATATTTCAGCAACAGGAGTACTCGGATATGCTTCGTCATCGGATGCACTATTACTACTAGTTGTACTGCTGTTGCTGCCATTACTTCCACCGGCACTG